AGCACCGCAACCCCGCCTCTGCTGCCAACTCCCTGCCCAGGTAGGGCGGGCTCCCATATACCATGGTACCCAGCAGCTCTTACTTTATTCTGCAACTTCGCCAAAGCATCGCCCTCGGCCTTGGCATGATGTTCCTGCACCGCGATGCATAAACTCGAGCACGTGGGCAGGAAGTCGACGAGCGGGCCGCCCGAGGACACGTTCACGGTGGTGATACTTGAAACCGACGCCATGGTGCGACAAAGGAGGACGAACCACACAAGACACGCAAAACATCGCCGTGGAGCCATGCTAGGCAGGGGTGAGCCTGGGCCTCTTGACCTTGGCACCCCAACGCATGAAGATCTCCTCCAGCCTGTGCTTCTCGCCCCCAGCCGCAACGACTTCCTCCATGAACTCAGGGTCGTCGGAGAAGGCAGATGGCTGTGGTGTGCGAGGCGCTGCCGCGTCGTCCTGCCGCTCGGCCTGCTCGACGTCGGGACCAGCCTCGGCCCCAGCATCCGCCTGCGCCTTCTGGGCAGCCAACTTTGCCGCCTCCTCCTCCTGCAACCTCTGCAGCTCCTGGAAGCTCGCCGTGAGGCTGCCCGACAGCTGGTGATCGGCGCCCAGGCTCTGGAGCAAGATCCCGAGGCCCTCGAGCGTGGCACCAACCCCCTTGATCGGCTCGTCGAGCGACGCCTTGTCGCCAGGCGTCGGAACCTGCCCTTGAAGCCTCTTGCGCTCCTGGTCCAGCTCCTCCATGCTAGCGTCGAGGGCCGCCAGCTTGTCCCGAGTGAGCCGTTCCTTCTCCTGCAGGTCGCGCAACTGCGCCTGCAGCCCATCGAGCTTGGTCTGCTGGTCGTCGCGCAGCTTCTGCAGCCTGGTGAACTGAGTTCCCATCTCGCGCAAGCGCTGTCCGAGCGGTCGGGACTCCGCCACCCTAGCCCGCAGCTCGGCCTGCTCGGCCAGCAGCTTGTCGCGCGTGGCCACGACCGACGGCTCGGTGATGCCCTTGAGCTTGCCGATGAGGTCGCCGACCTCGCGTAGCCTGTCCTTGGCGACGGACTCGGGGCCGTCTCCGTCCGCGGCCGGCTCCATCTGCACGTCCTCCCCGCCAGGCGGCGGCCTCTGCACAGCGGCAAGCCGCTTGCGGGCCTCGGCGAGCTCGGACTTGAGCTTGGCCACCTTGACGGAGTCGTCCCAGTAGCCGTTGCCGCTGCCGCCCTGATTGCCCTTCTTCCGCTGGGAGGGGGCCGCGGGCTGGCGCACGCTGTGGAAGACCAGTCCCTTGCCCAGCTTGCACTTCGCACACTGCCGCGCCTCTGCATGATTCCACCACGGTCTCCCCGAGGGCCCGCAGCAGCTCTTGCAGTACCAAGGACGCGCCTGCTCCGAACGGTAATGCGGCGGTGGCATCTCCACGACACCAGGCAGCAGCACACACGGTGGGCCGTGGCAGCGCGATCCGGAAAGGACTGGGTGTGGGCGCCCAACTCCCACGGTGAAGGCGAACGGAGGTCTGGCCGCGGACTAGCGGTATCCGTGCGGTCCCCAGGGGAACCAATCATCTTGAGCCAAAATGGCTACGGATTTTGTGGGGAGGGGGGAGGGCTTCTTAGGAGGAGGCTGCTTCTCAGAAGGCGCCGGCCTCGCATCTATAGAGAAGGCCCCCGCCTTCTAAGGAGCAGGGGTGCTCCTAAGAAGCCCTCCCCCCTCCCCCTACCCCCCTCTGCGCGTGGCTGGTTCTTTCGGACGAAGTGTGGCTGGTGGCGGAGCGGGGCCGACGATGCGGGGCAGGTCGGGCGGGCGGGACACGAATCGAAAGCTGGGCGAGGGCTGCGAAAACCGTCGCTGCCAAAGCGGCCATCCCGGAAGGAAAAAAAGCTTCCCGGAAGGAGGCGCGGCACGCGAAATAGTCGACGGGTTTCCTCCCGGAAGGACGAAGACAACTTCCCGGAGGTCGATTTTAGCAGCCACGGATTTAGCAGCCCTTGCCCGGCTTCCGAATGAAGGTTCGGGCTCTATCGAGCGCGGTCTGGCGGAGCGGGGGGCGGGGCGAGCCCGGCAGGCGGGACATGAAAGTGTGTGCGCCGTTCATGTCTGATCGTGCTCGTTTCTAATTGTGCTCGTTTCTGATTGTTCCTGGCCCCCTAGGGGCCAGGAAGAGGCCCAGGATAGGACAATTAGAAGTGAAAGGATCTTGCCCGCCAAAAAAATCAAAGAATTTCGAAGAATTTGAAACAAACAATGTGTAGGGCTCTATATCGACTGTGGTATGGCGGAGCGGGAGCGACGGGCGGGGCGTGTCGGGCGGGCGGGGCGTGAAAGCGCAGGGCTCCATTGAGCGTGGCCCAGCGAAGAGGGGGCGCGCGGGCAGGGCGGGTCTGTCGGGAGCGCTGATGGCAGGGTGGGCTGCATCGCGTGCCGTGGAACGACCCGGGTTACGCGTGCGGACGGGCGGCTCGGGCGGGTGGGTGACTCATGCCCAGACATGATCGCGCCGGACAAAAGTCAGGACGGGAGGTTTTCGGCCATTTTCGGTCTCGGGGGGCCCTCGCCGGGCCTCGGGACCGTCAAAGAGCGACTGCGGAAGGGGTCGGGACTTCCAGGGGGCCCGTGTTGAGAAATCAAGACGTCGCATGTGAGGGAATCCCAGGACGTCCGGGGAGAGGGAGGAGATGGAGAACGGAGGATGGAGAAGGAGATGGAGAACCACCATGAGATGAGATGGAGAACCACAAAGGAGGAGGGAGGGAGGGAGAGGGGAGGAGGGAGGAGGGACATGGAGGAGAGATGAGGGGGGAGGAGGAGGAGATGGATGCTGCTCTTTTTGGGGGAGGGGGAAGATGTCTGGGGAAGAAGCCTTGCTAGAAGAGATCTTGGGGCACAGTCTTCGTCGATCTTATCGAGGGTGCCAAGGTGCCTCTATAGGGCTTCTGTGAGCCCCTGGGACCGCGGGGCACCTGCTGGCGGGCCGTTCCCATCTGACGCGCCTGCTGTAAAAAAACGCCACGGTGCCAGCACCACCCCCGCACAGGAATCCTCCTCCTCCTCCTCCTCCTCCTCCTCCTCCTCCTCCTCCTCCGCCTCCTCCTCCTCCCCCTCCTCCTCCTCCTCCTCCTCCTCCTCCTCCCTCCTCCCCCTCCTCCTCCTCCTCCCCCTCCTCCTCCGCCTCCCCCTCCTCCTCCTCCCCCTCCTCCTCCTCCTCCTCCTCCTCAGCGGTGGTGCGCCCGGGCTGCCCAGGCCCCCCCAGGGCCGCCCCGGCCGCCCCGGCCCCTTGTGGCGGGCCGAGCCGCCGAGGCGGCGGCAAAGCGCTCCGGGCGCCTGCTTAGAGGGGGCGTGGCTTCACGGGGGGATGAGATGGGACGCACAGGGACGTACTAGTACTATGTGGCCTCCTTGGAGGCGCGCGTCCGACCCGAGCATATAGTATGCCCATCTCGTAGTGGATCGTTTCCCGAGCGGTGTGGCCAGGAAGCGCCCGCCACGACGCATATACTAGAAGACTTCTCGGTGCGCGCGTCGCCCCTGGAGGGGCGACGCACATAAAGTATGTGGGGGTGACGCCGATGAAAGGTCCACCGTTCGTACACCTTCAAGCTGGGGGGCCTTTTTCAGCAGCAGACGGTGTTCAAACGATCGCTCCAGCCGTGTCGCAACGGAAAATCGTCAGCAAGTCCAGCCCATTGCTGTTTGGCCATCCTCCCTATCATTGCTTGATTGATTGATTGGTTGAATGATTGATTAGTTGATTGGTTGAGCGCTACTTCCATTGAGGGCCGTTTCCCTACGGCCCTCGATCCCCCCTGCCTTCCGCGCACCCCCATGACGCCCGAGGTCCTCCGAGGACTGGGCCTCCAGGACGGCCCGGTGCGGGCCGCCCGAGGGCCGCCAGGAAGAGAGCAACCATGGACGAGGCACTGGCGCCAGGGGAGGAGCCGAGAGCTCTGCAGTCCACCCGCATAATATAAGGATGCGCGGTCAGGAGGCAAGGGCACCGGAGGGCCGCACTGACGTTCTTCGAGCGAGGCTGGCCAGCGAAGGTCGCTCAGAATGGTAGGGGGTCTCATGCGAACCCTCCCCCTCAGAAATCGTGGGGGGTAGGGGTAGGGTTCGCATGTGGCCCCCTAAATGGGCCGAAGTGGCAAGGATGCAAGGGCAGCCGTAGACAGGTTGCCTATCCTAGCTATGCGGCTCGACTGTAGGGGGAGGGGAGGGGTATGGGGCAAGTCACGAGCAAGCCGTGGCGTCGGAAGTCTGGGGAGGTTGCGAGGCGCGCGCTGCGCCAGGCGCACAGCTCGACTGCGACCTCGGGGGGTGCAGCGAGGAAGGGGCGGAGGGAGAGGGTCTGCGGTGCCCACCGAAGACGGAAATGCCCAGCCGCACCTTGCTGCGAGCCCGGCCTTCGAAGCCATGTCTCGCGCAACGACTCCAATCACAGAGACACAGATGCCCGCTGTGAATACGCAGCGGGAGACAGACACACACACACACACACACACACACACACACACCGCACGATCCAAAAGCGTTGTGCGATTGCCGGGCCTTTAACAGAAAAGCGGTCAATGCGGGGGTGAAGCCTTGCTTCAGATGGCTGACTGTGCCAAGTGACTTCACGCGTACGGGTGTCGTGTGAATCCGAATCGTGTCCCTGATCGAAGCAAACAAGTAGAGCAATGAAAACGTTATGAAATATGATCGCGGTCGCACAGCTGGTGCCCCACTCCCACATACCAAAATGAGGCTCTGAATATCATGCCACCGCCCCAGTCACGAGGCTTCAAACCGGACAGGGCTCATACGCACTGCTTGCAAACCTCCAAGGGCGCCCAACGAAAGGAACGAGAACCTGTTCTTCATCATCGAAAGTAAAATCCACTCCGCGAAAACGAAATCGACTATCAAAGGTCTGCTCGTGAGGTGGTGGTGAAGACAGTGGGAGATGCAAAGAGCGACTCGCAAGCAACAGCACCCACCGGTGGCCAGCAAGCTTCAGCAGAAGAAGGACGCACGTGCTCCTCCTGCCATAATGATGACAAGCCTCTCGTTAATGTTCTCTTTCTGAGTCTCAGGCGCTTCAGCACGGCTTCGGCGGCAGTCTCTATCTCGGCGGGCGAGCAGTGATACAGTCGGACTTCATTGGACAGGACACGCTAGAGGACAAAAGACCCTTCCGAGGGCCACATTGCCATAGGAATGCAGGAGGCATGGGTCGCGAGACACAGGACACACAGGTACCCTTGATTTGGCAGGGTCGACCTACTAATCCGGGCCGACTGTAGGCAGGGAGGGGCGGGCGAAGTTCGGCGACAAAGCGTCCGTCGCACCAGCCAGAGGCCAAGAACGCGCCAGCAGAGGCAAGGGCCACAGCGACGAGGAAGCGACAAAAAGCCGCCAACCATCACAGCACGACGAAGACTAAAAGTCCAAGGGCGGCCAGCAGACGGGAAGGACAGAGAAATACAACAACTGAAAATGGCCAACAAGGAGAATGAGATGCCACCACCTGGAGCACCGTGGTAGAACAACATTGGAAATGCAAATGATGTGTGTTATGCCGTATGCCGCGCACAACGTTCGGTGCGCAAGCCGTGTGTCTGCAAATGCGTGGTGTGCGGTGCGCTGTGCCATTTGTCATTCGCTGCAGCTCACACCTCGCGTGCGCATTACGCTGTATTCACATTACGCAGCTGATGCTCGGCCCCTGTTCTGCTTGTGCGTTCCCTGAGCTCTGAATGTCTCTGAGTGTGCTCTATCGATCGCCCCAAATCGAAAGTTCAACACAACATCCCCAACCTACCTCACGCGATCGTGTAGGGAGTAATTCCCAAGTCGGCGTGAAAGGCGAACTCACGGATGAGACGCTAAATGAGTGGGTTCTCGGCAGGATGGACGACTACGTGATAGCTGGCGATCCTCCTCGGTACTCGAAGCGTCGAGGACTTCCTCGAGGCCAAAGCGCGCTGCGGCGAGAGCATCAGTACAGGTCCCATAGAAATGGAAAGCTGTGCATTTACAGAATCACTCTCCACTCATGCAGTCGCTGTAAGCTTCAACCATGCATGGTCGCGAAATTTGAGGAGGTCTCACGCGAGAGCAACATATTTGGAAATGGATCGCCATTGGTCTGCGCAAGCATTGGGCAATTCGAGCTTAAGTTTTTAAAAAAGGACTGGATGTGTGTCAGGCCAAGGCCAGGTGTTGAAACGGTGGCGCCCTCCATCAACGTGGTTATTGAAGAGCTCAAGCTTCAGAACAATAGAGTGCCACATGTGCTGCAGGCGAGGGCCGCAATTCAAAAAACCAACCACCCTCCGCCCGCAGATCTTGTAGAATCGTTCAAGAGGAAGGTGCGCGGAGCTCAGGAGGAGACCCGTTGGTATCATCGTAGCGCACGCGTTCTGATCCATCTGTTGTTCGATCGTTGACGTATTCAGTCGGCTACACGCAAGAGTGACCCGAGGCAAAAGTGACCGTTGGTGCGCGGTTTTGTAGAGGGCCGCGAGGGGACCAAACACAAGCGCGCAAAGCCGCTACTACCGCATCGCGTTCGACAGTCGGGGAGCCCCAGTGGGCCCGCACCAAAGGCCACTCCGGCGAAAGGTCACTCTCCCAGACATGCGACGTCCTGATTTTTTCAATACAAGGTCGCTGAAAGTCCCGACCCTTTCCCCGGGACCGGATTTTCATTCTGAGTCGTTTTGTTGATGGTCCCGAGGCCCGGCGAGGGCCCCCCGAGGCCGAAAATGGCCAAAAACCTCCCGTCTTGGTTTTTGTAACGACGTCATGTCTGGGCTTACGTGTAGTCGATTCAGACGCTGCATGTCGCGTGAAGTGCTGCGTGTTCTGGGCCCGGCGCCCTCCTTCGCCACCCTCCGCGGCTGCTCTCCTACCCTTGGGGAGACGCAGGATTCGGGTTCGGGGGACTCGGGTTGGCCGGACGGGGCCGTCAGGAAAATGACGAGACGCAGGCTGAAGTTTGACGCGAGCTCACGCTGCAGATATCCCACGACAGCTGGAACGTCAAAATCCAGGAGGGGCCCTCAAAAACCGACGGCAAAACCGAGTTCCAGCGAACTCGGGCCTCACGCTTCCCCGAGAATTAGCACCCCGCCAGGCGAAGCCGCTACGCAAACGCACCCGAGGCAGGAATCGAACAGGGCAGGGCGGTTCAGTAAACGCCCAGGGCCGTCCAGCAAACGCCAATCATCGGGGTCGGGGCTGTCGTTCCTCCCTTGATACCAGTATAGGGGAACAAAAAATTGCATAAACATAAAAACTCGGAGGTCCGCGCGGATTTCTCGGATCGGCGCTGGACCCCCTCCCTGGCGCGCGGAGCGCGCCAGGGGCGGCGCCGGAGGCGCCGCCGGGGGGCCCCAGCGCCGATCCGAGAGATCCGCGCGGACCTCCGAGTTTTTATGTTTATGCCACTTTTTGTTTCCCTAGTAGTTCTGCTGAAATGAGGAGCGCTGGATAGGGAACGAAGCCCCTCTTCTCGGCCGAGGAGAGCGCCCGAGAAGCAGCCACGCAAGGACCCGAGGAACCCCGAGCCCCCCTGCCGAGCCCGAGCTCTTCCTCGCCTCGGCGTCCTAGCTTCAGGTCGGGCACGTCCCCCTACACAGGGGATTTGGGGCGAAATATAACAAACAAGTACTCAAATGATGCCCCCCAAATGGGCAAAAATGGTAACAAAAACCCCAAAAAGATCCCCCTGTAGAGGGACAGGCCCGACTTACTCTTAGCTGTGCCGATCCTACTTGTCGTCCACGTGGGCGCCTTCGGAGACCCGGAAGCCCAAAAAACGTTGTCGTCTCTTCGGGGCGCATTCGCCCTCCCGCCGGCCTCCGCCCGCGGAGGCGGCCTCGTTCCACTCCCGCCGACCCTCCGTCATCTCTTCCGCCGCCCTCCGCGGCGGAAGAGAGGACGACTCCTTCGACCCTCGAGGGCAAGGCCGCTCTTGTCGGGTCGGGCGACAGGGGGGGATAGCCAAAGGGGGGGCTTTGAGAATCAGCTCGCGGAGCTGATCCTCCCGGCGCCTCCCGGCGCCGGAGGCGGCCATGCATCGAGGGATGGGCCCCTCGGTGAAGCCGAAACCAGCTGCATGCGGCAAATTTCGTAACCCCCCCTTTCCCGATCCCCCCCCCTTTCGCCCGGCCCGATTTTGGAGCGCCCCACGCGGTGCGCAGCGAGTGCTGCTGCGACCCGGCCGTTGCTGTTCGATGCCTCGTGCGCCGCGCCGCCGCCGACAGGAAGAACATGCTCAAACGCTACAGCCGCACCCGACGGGGCCCGGAGAGGCGCAGGTAAACATATACAAATCCCAGAAGGCCCGGAGAGAGGGAGGCGATGGAGAACGGAGGAGGGAAGAGGAGCTGGAAAACCACCGCGGGAAGAGATGGAGGACCACCCGCGGAGGAGGGAGGAGAAGGGCGGAGGGAGGAGGAGATGGAGGAGGGATGAGGGGGGAGGAGGGGGATATGGATGTTTCAATACTTTTGGAGGGAGGGGATGGAGAACCACCACGAAGCTCCAGCGGTGCTGCCACAGCCCCTGCGCTGCCTGCCGGAGGTGCCCGCATGGGCGGCCAAAGCCTGCCCCCCGCGAGAAGACAGCCGCCAAAAGAGGAGCTACCTGTGACAATTATTGCCCGGGCGAACGATTGGGGAGGGGCGGATATTCGGGCGGTTAAATAGGGAAACAAACTCTATACACCGCCGTTCTTCCTGGCACTGCACACAGGAACGCGGATCCTGGTGCATACGGGATCCTGGTGTATACATGTTCCGCTGCTTCTCCTGGAAAGCAAGGCAAAAAAAAACACACCACACCACCCCGACGTCGTCCCCGACCCTCGAAAAAGTCCTGAGGTTGACGAGCAGCCCGCCACTGGCAACGCACATGTTCCAGTTCCCGACGAGCCGCACTCACCCCAAAACGTGTCGGCGCCGCGCCGGGAGCAAGCCGAAGCGAGGGGGAGGGGAGAGGGGGCCCCAGGACACACAAATAAATACACACAAATAAAAAGATCCCCCATATTTTCCCATATTTTCTGGGTTTCTGTCTTCCCCCCCGCTTCCCATATTTTCCCATATTTTCCTGGGAGTCGACGATTAATTGTGTCTGTGTGTTTCTTTCCCTCCTGAGAGAGGAGAGGGAAAACCACGGCCGCGAGCGTGCAGCGCTGCCACCACGGGAGGCCCAGGTCCCGCGGGAGGCGCGGCAGCCCTCCGAGCCGCCGTGGCAGAGCTCGTGCGTCGGACGCTCGCGGCAGGAGCCACCCAGGATTCCAAACGCGCAGGCATAATGCCCAGCGCCTCCCCCGTCGGGACGGGACAGCCAAGAGGAGAAAGCTGGGCTCACAGCATACAGGGAGCGTGCACACAACAACTGGGCTCACAGAGCATATAGGGAGCGTGCAAACAACAACAACTGAGCTGGTGAGACATCCGGACGTGCATGACCACGGACACTCTTGCAACGCATTCCGAAGGCCAAGTGGAGGAGGAATGCGAGAAGGGAGATCCACAGGAGAGCGGCTCACGCCGTCGCCATCACAACGCCGTACCCTGGCACTGGTATCAAGACCTCCTTGCCCATCTTGGCGTTGCTACGGCTGTTGAGGACAGTCGGGGCCACGTTGAGCATTGTTGGTAGCCGCCCCCATGCAAGATGGCGCCCCCATGCAAGGTGGAGCGACCAGGTGACGGGCACGGGTAGTGGCACTGGTGCGCCGTGGATCCAGCAGCGCAACGCCCTGCGCTAGCGCCGTGCATTGAATTTAGCCGCTGGAAGGTCGCAGTCGTCGGAGTAAGAGCTGGAGTCGAGGCCCGTGTTGGAGTCGGGGCAAGGGACGGCGCTGGCGTTGGTGCCGACGCAGTCGCAGGTGCTAGTGCTGGCGTCAGTGCTGGCGTTGGCGCTGGTGTAGGCGCTGGCGCTGGTGCCGCCGCAATCGCAGGTGTTCATGCTGGCATCGGTGTTGGCGTCTGTGCTGGTGTAGGCGTCGGCGTTGGTGCTGGCGTCGGCGATGACATCGGTGCAAGTGTAGGCGCTGGCGTTGGCGCAAGCGCTGGCGTTCATGCTGGCATTAGTGTTGGCGGCTGGTGCTGGTGCTGGCGCCATCGCAGGCGTTCATGCTGGCGTCGTAAGCGCCGGCGTCTGTGCTGGCGTCTTCCCCTCCATTCCCGATACTTTCCAACACGTTCATCGAAATTGTTGTTTATCTGTGTCTGTGCATATATTCTTCTCTCCCGAAAACCAGGCTGACGGTCAGACATTTTTGCTTAGCGTGTCGCGGCGGCGGCCCCGGCGATACGCTATGCCCTGCAAGCGGATAGCGTGTCGCTCCGCTCCGCGGCGGGGCGGGAGGCTGGGAAAGGCTCGGGACACTGACGTCATGGGACCGGTCCGCGAATACCGAGTTGCGACGAGGCGCGGTGGGCCAGAACCTGCGGCGCGACACGCCAAGCAACGTTCCCGTCGATCGGTTTCCAGGTGGTCAGACGGCCGTTCGGGACAATCCGCGATCCCCCAGAACGCCCTCGGCGAGGCGCAGCTGCCGGAAGCACCCCGAGGCTGCAAAACCTCGGAGACCCAACAAAAGAAGGAGGAGGAGGAGGAGGAGGAGGAAGAGGACGAGAAGGAGAAGGAGGAGGAGGAGGAGGAGGAACAGGAGGACAGGGAGGAGGAGGAGGAACAGGAGGAGGAGGAGGAGGAAGAGGACGACGAGGAGGGGAGGAGGAGGAGGAGGAGGAGGAAGGAGAAAGAGGAGGAGAAGGAGAAAGAGGGGAGAGGGAAGATGAGGAGGAGGAGGAGGAGAAAGAGAAAGAGTAATTTGGATTGGAAAAGGAAGAGAAGGGGGAGGAGGAGGAGGAGGAGGGAGTGCGAGGAGGAAAGGGAGGAGGAGGAGGAGGAGGACAAGGAGGAAGAGGAGGAGGAGGAGGAGGAGGAGGAGGAGGAGGGAGGAGGAGGAGGAGGAGAGGGAGGAGGAGGAGGAGGAAGAGGAGGAAAGGGAGTGCGAGGACGAAAGGGAGGAGGAGGAGGAGGAGGAGGAGGAGGAGAAGGAAGAGGAGGAGGGGGAGGAGAACGGAGACGAGGAGGAGGAGGGAGAAGGAGAGGAGGAGGAGGAGGAGGAAGAAGGAGGACAAGAGAAGAGGAGGAGAAGGAGGAGAAGGAGGAGGAGGAGGAGAGGGAAAGAGGAGGAGGAGGAGGAAGAGAGAGGAGAGGAGAGGGAGTGCGGGAGGAAAGGGAGGAGGAGGACAAGGAGGAGAAGGAGGGACGAGGAGGGAGGAGGAGGAGGAGGAAGGAGGAGGAGGAGGAGGAGGAGGGGAGGAGAGGAGGAGGAGCGAGGAGGAGGAGGAGGGAGGACGAGGGGGAGGAGGAGGAGGAGGAGGAGGAGGCCGCCGACCGTAAAGCGATGCCAAGCGTGGAGAGGAGAAGAGCCCCTGCCCCGGGCAGGCCGCCTCGCTCATCACGGAGTTTTGGCTGGCTCTCCTGCCGTGGACCGGGGAGGGGTCTCGGCGACCCCCAGGGCGCGCACCGCCGAATAAGCTCCTCGGGACGTGGCAGACAGAGAAGCCCAAGGAAGAAGAGGAGAAACGGAGGAGGAAAGGAGGAAAGGAGGAGGAAGAGGAGAGGAAGGAGCGAAGGGAAGAGGAAGGAAGGGAGGAGGAGGAGGAGGAGGAGGAGGAAAAGGAGGAGTGCAGTGAGCTGCTTGACCCTGTGAGAGCGAGCTGCTGGATTTCCGCCCAACACTAGCCAGGTTGGCTTAGCTCTTGCTCACCAGGGTGATGCCTGCATGCGTACTCACGCAGGGAAAGAGAAGGCACGACCTGGACGGTCGGGAGCAACGGATGCTCTTCACGGCAAACGCCTTACCCGGTTGTACAGCACACCAACAAAGCCAAACGTGGTGTGACATCTCGTTCACGCGGGCGCGACTGCCCAGCCAGTCATCATCATCATCATCATCATCATCATCATCATCATCATCATCATCATCATCATCATCATCATCATCATCAGCATCAGCATCATCATCATCATCATCATGATCATCATCATCACCATCATCATCATCATCATCATCATCAACAACAACAACATCAGCATCATCATCATCATCAGCATCATCATCGTCATCATCAACAACAGCAACAACAACAACAAGAGCATCATCATCAGCATCATCAGAAACAGCAGTCGCATCATGACCATCATCATCAGCAGCAGCATGAACATCAACATCATCCTCATCATCAGCAGCAGCAACACCATCACCAGATTCCTCGGCATCATCGTCACCGCCGTCATCTAATCATCAGCAGCATCATGATCATGATCATGATCATGATCATCATCATCATCATCATCATCATCATCAGCATCAGCATACCATCTTAATCACCATATCATCACCGCCATCCTCCCACGAGCATCATCATCAGCAGCATCATCATGATCATCATCTCATCGTCACCAGCATCCACATCAGCATCAAAATCGACATCGCCACCGATTTC